CAGAAGTCAAATCGTTCTTGTTCTTGTTCTGGAACCTGCTGATGCCAGGGCTTTTGGTACAGTCTACGATCGGTAAAGTGAACAATAACAATAAAATTTTAATACCTATATCCTACTTTGATATGTCTATTTAATTTCCTGAAACAAAGACAGTATAAATGTATTCGTTTTTTTTTTAATGAAAATTGAAAAAGAAAATGCCGAGGTTTTAAGATCCCCTCAAAATGACTCTTAAAAGTCAGTCACAAAAAGGAACACCTCAGATACTAAATAAAATTTACTAAAAATATGAAAACTTTAATATTATTTCATACTTCTGAATATAATTCAAAGATCTTCATATCCAGGATAATTCTAAAAGTTTCTTTTAGAAACTAAAGGTTTTTAAAACTACCCAATGATGCATTTTATTAGAACTTTAAATTAACCTTCATGGCTTTAATAACATATATTTTTCTGCCCAAAAACATTCCTTAATTAAAAAAATACCAATTAAACCATATTAATTCTTATAAACAATTATAAAAACATCCAACTTAGCAAAGTTCGTCTGTAATTGTTGTTGTTTTTGCTGATGGTCAGTTCAGGTTCTCTTCTGCTTTTTCTTACTTTTCTACTTTCTGCGCGAACAAGTTGGTAGGATGAAAGTGCATTGAAATCTTTGTAAGTAACTTGAGTAAGCCAACTTGCGAGGACGACGACAACAACAGCAAGAACAACAACAACAACAACACCACATGAACACACAACAAAGGAGAGGCAGCAGAACAACAAATAACAAAACAGGACATCCACAACAAATGGTTTTTATCGCTTTTTGCAACTTCTATGTGCGTATTGTTGTTGGTTTAGTTGTTGGCTGCCGGTTATTTGGCCAACTTTTTATATAATGCATGAAAAGTTGCTGGCCGCTGACAAGTTGAGCGACCACCAACAATGTTTGGCCAGCCAAGTTTTCATGTTTTATTTCGGCATAATCAAAATGCTATTTAAGGACACGCTCCCACGCTATTCCGTATTCCCCGTCAGGAGCTTAATGTATTAAACAGCAATTACAAATGCGGTCAAATTAATAGCAAAAAAAAGGATAAAGGTGATTAATGCCCCTACATTATATCTGGATACTGTAGTTTTTTTTTATTATTATTAAATGTAGTATTAAACAAAAAGTATGTGTTTTTATGTATTCAATTTAATTGAAAGTTTAGCAATTGAGGTTCTCTTTAACGTAATTTATACAAATAATTTTCGTTTTAAATCGATTGATTTTAATTGATATTTATTACTTATTGTTTTCCATATTATTAACTAACTCAAACTCTTATTTAAAGTTTTTAGTGTGTATTCTAATTCTCAGTTTAGTCAAAAGCTTGTAAGGCTGGGAAGGAGTCATTTCCAACCCTATAAATCATATTATTATAGATCTGCATTAATAGGCGGAAAAAAAAAAATTTGGGCAATTTTTTCAAAATTTTATAAGGGGTTATATAGATAAAAATTAAAAAAAGAAAAATCACCAAAATTTTAATCTATAAATTGATTATGCAGATTTTTTAACCTAATAAAAACTGGAAAATATAAGTTTTCCGAATTGAAATTAATGGCTTTTTGACAGAATTATGAGAAATTTTAAAGATTGATTTGTTATGCAAATTATCTCATACAAATTTTGTTATATATTTTGTATTTTAAGTAACTATATAATCGATTTCCATTTCGATCCTATAATTCGATTGCAAACTGGAAGGATATACAACTTCGCTTTTCCAAAGTTAGATTTTTTTCTTCTTAACATCAATCTGTTGGCATATTATCTTTCTACCAAGACAAATTTCGTTACTGTTTCCTTTACCCAAACTGTGTCTTTCCAAGATGAAAAAAGTGAGAAAAACTAAGCAGAACTCACACCCATTCTCCCCCAAGGACGCTTCAAAGGGGGGCAATGTGCGTGTCATGTGTGTGGTGTGTGTGTCCTGCTCGTTTTGTTTGTGTACGTGTTGGGGCATACGCGCTGTGCAAAGTGCGCTAAATTAAGCTGTCATTAAGGACTTAATTAAAGTCCTTTGTTGAAAGTTGACATTGTGTGAAAGAAACGTTTGCGAAAACAAATGACAATGGCAACGTTGTCGCTGCTGCACTTGAAAGGCTATCGCCCAAAAAAGAAAAAAAGAAAAATAGAAGGAAAAACCCCGAAAAATGGCACCCAACATCAAAGCAACTACAAGAGCACCAACAACAATGGGGGTGGCGAGTGGGTGAACATGTGTCAAAAATTTTCAACAGTATCATGATCCAAGAGAACTCGACGGCGGGCGTAGTGTACTGATGCTGCGAAAACTCATTAGCAGGCAAACAGAGAGAAGAGGCCAGACAGACAATGCCAAAGGAGACAAACAGCACACAAGCATACAGGTTGAGCGTTAAACTCTCCCCCTTTCCTTCGACGACAATTGCAAATATCAAGGAGAGCAGCACCAGCAGCAGTAGAAACATAACCGACTTGCTTTTTAATTAAATATTTTGCCAAGCAGACACTCAAATGCCAGAGACACTGTCAAACTGTGTTTAATTGCCGCCCGAAGGCAATAGCTAAATGCAAACGTGTGTGTTTTTGCCTGCATACCTGGGGATCCTGAATCCTGGAGCCTGAACTGGATCCGGAATCTGGAATCCCAGGCCGCCAGTCTTCTAGCCTGCGTTTTGTTTGCCTGCCTCAGCAAATGTTTGCTCATTGCCAAAATTGTCGTTGCTTGGAATAATAAAAATCACATTCGTCGCTTCCGCACGACTTTGCGGTGAAATTGGGAAATTGAAAAGGCGACATTTTGTAACGATACTAATATTAAGGTAAAGAATTTTCTGATTTCATAAATTCTTATTTGTCCAAAAACAATGATTAAACAGAAAATGAGCGGAGTAATAACGTTATTTACGATATTCACTTCTCGGCCGAATGTTGAATTTGATCGTTATCCGAGTTCACCACCTTACGGGATCAGCAAAGTTCTCATCCATATGTTATTAAATACACCTGTTTCTTGAAACCTTTTTGTCACTATTGCTCGAATATAAAAATTAGATTAGAAATATTCAATTTATCGATAGTAGCGTGAGCTAGAGTGGAGAAGATTCTGAAAAAAAGCTAAAAACCAGCTAATATTTGACAAAAATAAGTTACTATAAAAAATTAATATTAAAGTTATATATATATATCTGACTTTAGAAATTAATTTAAAAAAATTATACAACTTCAATGTTGTTTAAAATATTTTCATCTATCAGATTCGTTTTAATATTTCAGAATTTCGGATTTAATGAAATGAATATCTAACTATTATATCAGATTTGTGCAATACAAACGACCGTTAAATATAGATAAGAATACAAAACTGTGTATATTAAACTGTAACTGTACGTATATATAATTTGTATAAATTATATTGCATTAATTATTAATGATCGTATTGAAATCCACCGCACCGGTATAAAAACATCGTCGTACCGAAGCTAGCTTCGTTCTTGTTTCCTTTAAAATAAATAGAATATAAATGTATGTTTTATTTTAGTCGTCGCTGTCACGTTGTCGCCAACACAACTATAACGATTTAGTAATAATCGTAATAAATTTATAAATAATAAAGTCATGGCCACCGTTGAGAAATTATCCACCGATCGGAAGGCTAATCCTATCAAGTCGCTTCTTACTGGTGGATTTGGTGGAATTTGCAATGTTTTATCTGGTCATCCGCTAGACACAATAAAGGTACGTTTGCAAACGATGCCACGACCGGCTCCTGGAGAGCAGCCCATGTATAAGGGAACCTTTGATTGCGCTGCGAAGACGATTAAAACCGAAGGCGTGCGTGGTTTATACAAGGGTATGTCAGCCCCTTTGACTGGGGTTGCTCCTATTTTCGCAATGTGTTTTGCTGGCTACACTTTGGGAAAACGTCTCCAACAACGGGACGAAGATGCCAGGCTCTCATACCCCCAGATCTTTGTTGCCGGCTCGTTCTCTGGTCTGTTTTCCACTTTGGTTATGGCCCCAGGAGAGCGCATCAAAGTGTTGCTGCAAACCCAGGAGGCGACAGGGGGTCAACGTAAATACAATGGAATGATTGACTGCGCTGGAAAGCTGTATAAAGAAGGTGGAGTTCGCAGCGTTTTTAAGGGGAGCTGTGCAACAATGTTAAGGGATTTGCCTGCCAACGGCTTGTATTTTTTGGTATATGAATATATTCAGGACATGGCTAAAAGTACATCACCAACTGGTCAAATTAGCACAGCCTCAACTATTCTTGCTGGTGGCGTTGCCGGAATGGCCTACTGGATTTTTGGAATGCCGGCAGATGTCTTAAAGAGTCGGTTGCAATCAGCACCAGAGGGAACATACAAGCATGGAATTCGCAGCGTATTTAAAGATTTGATTGTTAAAGATGGGCCCCTTGCTTTATATCGTGGTGTTACGCCAATAATGATTCGCGCATTTCCCGCAAATGCTGCTTGTTTCTTTGGCATTGAGTTAGCAAATCATTTTTTCCGTGTTGTAGCCCCATCATTTTAACCACAAAAAGCTTTCATTTGTTGGCATGTGTAATGAGTTTAAAGTGCTTTGATAAAGTGATTTTAAATAAATATTTAAAAATAAAAAGTATGAGACTACCTAAATAAAAAAAGTAAATATAAATGCTACACGCTACATGGATATTATTATTAAGCTATAAACTAGTTCAGTTCCCTTCTCAAAAAAGCTAGATCTAGCCTGAAAAAGCTAAGAAGCTAGCTACACGCTAGTTGGATATTATTATTGAGCTACAAACTAGTTCAAGTTCCCTTTTCAAAAATGCTAGATCTAGCCTGAAAAAAGCTAAGAAGTTAGCTACACGGTAGTTGGATATTATTATTGAGCTATAAACTAGTTCAAGTTCCCTAGCATTTTTTAATGCTAGATCTAGCCCGAAAGAAGCTAAACTGGCAACACTGATCGTCAGTTTTTGGTTCCTTTTGTGTTGTTGGTTCATATCTTTTGTCTTTCCGCTTTATTGGGTATTTTAAAATCGTATTTTTCTTGTGCGCTTCTTAATTTCTCCCCCCCCTTTAAAATGATAAATTAAATATAATTGCGGCGTGAACGGTTAATTCAATTCGATGTTCAAAAACTCCAATTAAAGTTTTGCAAACTCCCAACAACAACTCAAGTGTGTATCTCCTCCGACGCTGTGTATGCGCAAGTGTTTGTGTGCCTCGTATTGAAGTAAATGCAAAGTTAGAGTTTAAACTACTAACGAAATATTTGCAGATCAATCATTTATTAAACGCTGAACAGAAGCCAAAGCCGGTGCAATTCAATTGTTTAAACTTTTCAGTTTTGAGTTTGTTTACCTGTAATTCGCTGCACTGCTCACTTGTAGCGCGCTCCCTCGCGCTGTCTCGCTCCCTCCCGCGAGCTGAGGAATTCCTGTTGTTGGCATTGTTGTTTCTTTTCCCTATTCTTTTATTTTATTTCCCTGCGTGGGCATATAACCAGTTTCCTTTTTTTGCCTTTTTTCTTTATCGCCCATGCTTCGCGACCAATTGTCGAGTGCTAAGTGCGTTGAAATCGAATTGAAAACCGAATTGAACTCACAACTGGGAAAATACATTACATTATTTGTGTGTGTATGTGTGCGTGTATTGCATCGCGTATATATGTATATATGTAATTAATCCAAACGAAATTGGCACTACCGTCGCAAGGGGGGGGAGGAAAGTGTGGGGCAGAGTGTTATAAATCGCCCGAGGAAAGAAGTTTATTTTAAAATCCATTTGCCAGTGAAATCAATTCCATTGCAATTGCCGCAAAAGTGTGTAAAAATAATACAAGTTAAATGTGTTAACGGTTATTTCGTGAGAAAAAACCCGCCGGTTTTTCTCCTGCAACAGTAAAATCAACAAGCAATCGCCGATACACGCACTCTCTCTCTCTCTGTCCCTCTCGCTATAATCCAATTGAGGTTTGAGGGCAGCAGAGTCCCCTCTCTCTCTCTCTCTCTCTCTCTCTCTCATACGCGTGTGCCCCCACAATGTCGCTGCTCCTGCTATCCCCACTCCTCGCACTCCTGTTGCTCCTGTCCAGCAGTGTGAGCGAGACGGCTGCGGACTATGAAAACACCTGGAACTTCTACTATGAGCGTCCTTGTTGCACTGGAAACGATCAAGGCAACAACAACTACGGCAAACATGGGAGAGGTAAATAATCGAAAAGAGGGGGCAGCACAAAAAGGGGAAAACAAGGATTAAAATACATTTGTTAAATAAATTTATATTTCATGTTCACAGGGGTTTTCCTAGGCTATTTTTTATAGGGTCTTAACACTACGGAAAAGTGGATAATATTTGTGGTTCTAAAGATATTAAAACTATTTGATTAGATAAACAAGGGAAACAAAGATTAAATACATTTGTTAATAATTTATTTCATGTTCACAGGGTTTTTCTAGGCTATTTTTTATAGGGTACTTAACACTAAGAAAGTGGATAATATTGTGGTTCTAAAAGATCTTAAGAATAACCACAGAATATTTGTTCTTTAAAATTCCCTTAGCATCGGCTATCCCTAAAATTCTCAACAGGTTCTAGCTGCTTTTAACATCAAGTCAGAGCTCTTAATTCAACACTCTTAATTTTGATTAAGTAATCGGTTTACTTTGTTAGTATATTTCCATTAATATGAAGATACTCTTTAAAATTCTTTTCAAATTTAATTAAAATCCATATACAAAACTATAAATAAAGAGGGTATTGCATACATCGGTTTTCCCCTGGGGGGCTTACACTACACATCCGTTTTTTAACAGTTGCAAATATTATTTTTCAATTTTTCAGGCAACAACAAATTTGTAATTTATTTGCCATAATATTCGCACATGTTCTTTGTGCCTTTATTATTTATCTCGTTTGGTTCGGTTTCAATTGCACCTATTTATTTTTTTATTCTCTGGACTCGATTGGGGCCATTTCCCATTTTTACTGGACCCGCTGCTGGGAGCATTGTTATTGTTGTTATTATTTATAATTTGCATATTAATGCGCGGCATTCATAGCGAATATTGCCGTGGCTGTGCGCAATTGTAAATTGTTGCTATTCATATGCATATTTCATGTTTAAACAAATACCAATAATGTAATCATATTTTAACCATATGCAGTCCCCGTAATCCACAAAGATAAATCCTGAATGATATATAATTGACTGTTGTGTGTGTCCCCTTAATGCCGCCACCAAAAAAATAAAAAATAAAATAATGTAAAAACTTTTCCATTTTTAATGAGAAATCAAAGTCGATTCCCAAAGCCCTCTTTAGTTCGCTTCAAAGTTTGACCAGTTTTATTGAGTCATTAAGGCCTAAGAGTTATTTAAAATTCAACTATGTGAGCTCCGAAAAAAACAGGTTTCTGGCCATTTTATGAGTCTGTAGCATGTTGGATTTTGCTTAATAATTTTGGGCAGCATTAATTTATCATCTTGAGGTTGATTGAAAAGTTCCCAGAGTTCAATGGATGCCGAGGAACAGCAGAAAGCTATCACAGAAAACGTAGAAAATGTTGTATACCAAATTTAAATCGCATTTTGCGTTGGCGAAACACACACACACACACACAGAGCTTCAGGTCAAGACCAGTAAACATTTTCTAATAGGTTCACGTGCCAGAATGCTGGTCATGGCTTTTCCGCATTTTCTCACCCTTTGGCTGCCACCCCTTTATCTCGGCTATATCTTTAAGCTATAAGCTATAAGTGCAGCATAAAACTTCACGTGCCGACAAGAACTTTTGGTCCTTGCCGCATGTTGCACTGTAAACTCAATGGCTAAGCACTTGCCCCCGAGAGGAGAACGTGAGGCGATTAGAGGAGCCTTCAAGCTGTTTGCGCATACTTTACCAGGAAGTTCTATACCACAAATATGTGTATGCAAAGAAAACAAAAGAAAAATCTACAAGTATAGGAAAAAATATCAGGTTTAAAGATGATTTTTCAAAGAATATATAACACTAAAAAAGTATTGAAACTTAATAAATATACAAATAAATACAGAATAAAACTAAGCATGTTAAATGCTGAAAGAAAATGCATTTCAAACTCTTGCTACTATTATTGTGACTGCAACTGTCTCTCGGAAAATACAAAATAAAAACTTAAATATATACTAAAAAGGCTACAAACATTGAAAGTGGAACGGTGCACCAGATGCACCATATAAACCTATCGTTAAGCAATAAATTAAAACACTTAAACCGCAAAGCACACAAAATGCAGCGAACTGTATGACAACAAAACTCTAAAATGTCAACTATAAATTCCCCCGGTTGATGGTTAAAATTTATTTTCTGTTTTCTTTCATTGGAATGCATGAAAAAGCACTATTTTTATTGATTTAAATGAAATTAATTGCACTTCATTTTAGGGAATACTAAATTTATGTCTCTCTGTGGCATTTCCCTAGCCCCGTTTTCCTGCATTTTCCCCCCTCCCGCTTCTTTCACCACCTCGGCCACTTCAATTGGTTGACTCAGCGGTTTGACAGATGTTTCTAGCAGCGACTCTTTTTTTCCCTAAATTCTATTTTTATATTGTATCTTTCGGTTCTGTCTGTTGCTTCCTCTTATTCGTTCTCCTTTTCTTTGTCTCCTCAGATACAAAGATACAAAGTTCGCCGGCTGTTTGACAGAAGGTGTAATGACTTCATTATAAAGACCAAAACCCATGATTATTGACTCACTTCACTGGCAGGTAGTTGAGGTTAAGCCAGCTAAAAATATGTGGAATTAACAAGAAACTACAGGCGTCCCGCTGACCTTAAAATAAGTGGAAGGGAAAAGGTTTTACACTTTTAGAAACACTTAGTCTATAGGAAATATATAATTATAATATATAGAAAACACTTAGGAATCACTGAAATCCTTAGACTTATTTCCCTTGACTCAAGGTTCCTTCCTTTATAGCTCATACTTTCTAATATATAAGATGTATAATAGGTTGGAATTATAGCAGAATTTTTCCTATTGCTTGGATTAATTTTCTATTGCCGCAGATATCCGCGTAATCTGGGATTTATTGCAGCAAGTGGTTGTCTCTGTCTCTTTTATTTCTTAGCGCAACAGTTTAAAGAGTTTCTTAGTACATCTCTCCGAGTGGTGGCACACTGCTGACCCATTAAAATGACAAAAGCGATAAAGGGAGCACGTACTTCTTGCCCCCGGGTTGTATTTACAATTTTTTTTTTTTTAGGGAGAGTAGTAGTGCCACAGCAAGCTCCACTTCATCATGGAAATGTCGAAAGCTGTTGACACAGTAGCTCATTGAGCCCACCCCTTTGCTGTTTACTGGTAAAGTCGTTGGGTGCCGGTGCTCTCTCTCTCTCTCTCTCTCTAGCCGGGAGCTCGAAGCGGGGATTTACCTGGCCGAGAACAGGGGAACCACCCAAAGCATGTCAGGATTGGTGCCTCGCAATGAAAAGTTTCCCGCGAAATTGAATTTCAATGCAATGGCCGACACCTTCAGCTGCAAAAGTGGGGCTTAATAATGTTTCACTGCGAACAAGTGGCAAGTTGCAAGTGGCAAGTGGCGAGTGGCGAGTGGCGGCGACTTGCGAGTGGGAGCAACAAGCGGCAACATCATTAAAAGTGTGTTTAAAGCGGACTCTTTTCCTAAGTTTTAGTTGGCCAGCTGCAAACGCTGAGAAAATCACGTTTCGCCTTTGGACAACTTTGCTAACTCCACTCGGAGAAAAAAAAAGAAAAACGTTCTAAAATCATCAAAAAAAAAAAAGAAAACAAAACAAGTTCTTGGCAAGAATAAAAAAGTTTTGAAAAAGTTACGAGAACAAAGAGATCTCCTTCAGTCGGAAATATTGTGCTAAAATGTAGATTTTATTATTGTTGAAAGAGAAAGATATTCCCAGGGTTTTGAGATATATTTACTCCTGGATATATCAATCTTTGCTTTACACAATATATAATATTGTTTTGGGGTATATTTTTCCTCCAGTGCCCTTGCAAATAGTTATGTAATATTCAATTGATAAAAAGCCGCACTTTATGTAGGCTGTAAGCCGCTGATTAAAGCAGAGGAAGTCAGTCGGCTTATCACCCTCCCCGAGGGCAAAAAGAAATATTAAAAAAAATCGAACTGAGAGTAGGAAATGGGCTGCAACGAGGCAAAGGAATACCGATAGCAAAGTGTCGCAAAATGTTGCAAAAGCAATTAGCACAGGCAACAGGCGAAATGCAATCAATCAACTGCAAATGCAGTTAGGCCACAGATTTTGTCGTTTGGCCATAATTCAATCACCTTAAATTGATGCAAACAACTCGCTTAACGTTAATTTCCATTTAGCCTCATCATTTTAAGGTGAAATTTAATTAAATTTTCATTCACAACCCGCTTGTACGAGTGTGTGTGTACTTTGGCTTAATTGACTTAGCCTAAGCATGCTAAAGACCAAAATTTGCATTCTCTTTTGTCTGGCCAAAATATGTTGCATATGGCTAGCAAGCAAGTTGCGGCTTTGTGTGCATTTAAGTGGCAACAGCATCAAGACTTTCATGGCAAATTAAGCGGGCCGCAGAATGTTTTACTTGCCAAGCAAATTTACCATAAAGGTGCCGGTGTTAGAACCTAACAAATACAGTTAAATGGTGATATTTTATAAGATAACGAACTAGGGAATACACTTCTTTACTTTATAAACAATGCTTCATAATATTTAAAATAACAGAGCTATTATGAGATTTGATAAATGATTTCTTTTGATCATATTTAATGTATCTACTTATTTAACTATCTAACACTTAATTTTCTGATGATTACTTTATATTCTAAGATACAAAATTACACTTATAAAGCATTTCACTGCATTGAAGTTAAATGTACATATGTTTATTTCTATTATAAAATACCCTCCTCTGTAAGGGTATAAAAAAGGTGGTTTTAAAAACTATTTCAACCGTTTATGTGGCCGAAAGACACACTCACTCACACATGAGCTCGTCAAATGGAGTTGCACTATGAAGCAGGAGCAGGAGCACCTCTTCTACCTCAAACTCTACCTCGTTTTAACCAAAAACGAAACAGTTACCGCATCCGCATTTTGTTGCGTTTTTGTTGCCAGCTTTTGGGCAATGTCCAGGCTATATACCTCTACACTATACTATACTACACTATACTATACTACACTATACTATATGTA